ATCCATTTCCTCCCCTTCCTCATTCTGCCAGGCAACAAAATGCCACTTTCTTGACTGATGGATGCCAGTTCACCCCTCTCTCAGTGGGCATTATGAAGATTGTGTCCCTCAGCCCCCCTCAAGGTCTCTTGGCCCAGCCTGCACCCACCATCCCAACTTCCTCTACAGAGAGCTAAGAGATGCTGTTTGCTTCCACAATTACATGTGGAAATACACCCGTGCCTGTCTCTCTGTCCCCAGGGCCTCTGTGAGAAACTGCAAAAACATTCTGGATTAAAACTAACCTTTAGGATTTATTTATGTATGAACTAGTTCCTGCTTCAAGCAGAGGACCTGTGTATTGACATAACTGCTCTGCAGCCACGGGTGGGATATACGATATCAACACGCACACTCGGTGTTTTGAAACAAGAAATCAATGCACAATTGGCTAGGATTCCCCCCACACCTCCCTGGCTTCCCAAGTCTTTGCAAGCAAATTCCAACATGGAAAAGAACTGGTCAGTCATTTACTAAATGCTGCCAGACACTTGGCAGCTGTTAGAATTCCTGAGGATGGTGGGGAAGGGGCTCCAAGTGGCAAAATCGCTTCAGGCAGCAACCACTGAATGATGAACTGGAACAGAACATTGCCACAGCATTTTCAATAGGAGGATCCTGGTTTCTATTTCAATCTTTCTCTGGGACCTGCCCACTGATAAGGCAACATTTTCCTCTTTCCTTTTCTGTACCTTTACATAGAACGAACGCAATTACTCTTCATGGCTGATAAAACTATCTGACTAAATGGAAATCCTCTCCTTCAATGGCAATGCTTATCTGTTTCAGACTTCAGTGGTGCAGGGGTTGAAATGCCTACAGCCTACAAGATAGGCACGTTAATTATGTCAGGTTAAGTCCAGTGCATTAAGTACTTCAGGGTGGCTGCCCCTGTGGCTTTCACCCCACAGCCCTCTCAGCGAACGCACGGCACTTGCTTCTGCTTTGCTAACAACTCCCTCGTGTAAGGCAAACAGAGACAGCTCCAGCTACCCTGGAGCTGCTGACATGCTGGAAGTTCATACCCCAGCCCATACCTTCCCATTGCTGACTTCACAGCTGGAGCCCTCAGAAAACAACTGTACTACTCAAAACGGTTGTTTCAGCTCATCTGAAATTCTTCCTGATCACAATCAACACTGTCCCTCTCTGGAAACACGCTCACAGGTTACAGCTCACCTCTCTGACAGCAGCAGCAAACCTGGTTGTGACTGAAAGGGACTTACATGTAACAGTGGCCACAGAGCTGTTGTGCACAAGCTGATGCTGCTTCAGTAGATCAAATCCTTCTGAAAGCATTCAAATAACGTTTTCAAGTTGGAAGAAACAACCAGAAGTTGACTCACCAGGAGGACTGAGTCATGCTACTTGGAGGTCACCCGCAAGGCTACTGAATGACAGCAGAATGCCAGAAGGATGTGGTGCCAGCGCTCCAGGTCCTGGGCATGCCTGGATGATCCCTGATTAGCATCAAGCTGGGATGGACCCCAGTGTGCTGGCAGGCAGCGGAGGGGAGGCACATCCATGGGAAACCAGATGGTCATCCTGGTCAGCTAACACGCTGCTAACCTTGAGCACAAGCTGCCATGGTCAGGGGAGCTCAGACTCCACTGAAACCAGGTTGCTAATTCTGGCTTCTACATACAGGCACTCAGACTGACAAAAACAGTTAATAGAAACCTGCTTTGAAGCCTTAATGCTTCTGCCCGAGTATAAAAGTGCTTATTGCTCCCTCCCCAGTTTTTACAAGCCCCTTTCCTGACAGACAGACGTGGAGATGCTGGTTTAAATTTAAATATGCTCTCTTCCTGATACATAGTACATAAAAAAATGATCTCATACGTCTTCAAAGAGCTCACAGAGACCTTGAAGTACACAGCAAGCTAAATATCACATACACAGAATCATAGTTCGGGTTGGGAAGGACCCTAAAGCTCATCTAGATCCAATCCCCTGGCACGGACACTAGACTATGTCACCCAAGGCCCATCCAGCCTGGCCTTGAAGATCAGCCATCTCTGAGTGATTTCATCTTTTATGGTTAAAGAATAAGCGATGGTGTGAAATGCTGTCCTGAGGGGCAGCCATCTGCTGCTGCCCCCACCAGCCCCACTGGGGCTCCAGTCTGACCTCCCTGTCAGCTCAGCCCTATCCCCTCTGTCTGAGCTCCCTGGGAAGGACACAGATCTGATTTCTTGTCTCCCAAGTGTAGTGCTTTACTCCAAGGAGTACCTTACCTACAGGGCAAAAATACCCCCAGACAAGTGTAATATTTTCCCCAGATGAATTTCAGCATCAGGTACAAGGCATTACTCCACCTTACTGCTAACTTCCCACTGCAAAGAAAAAGTCAGTAGTCTGAAAGGTAAGTCACATTTGGTGCAAAAGTGTTCACCCGACACTGACAGTTGCAGCACCCATTAAAGCTTAAATTCAATCACATGCTGAAAAAACCTCAGAAAACATGAAGCAAAACCTAAGACCAGGATAGTATCAACCCATAGAGTTCTACTGCTTAATATCTTAGTGTCTGTGTAACGTCTAAATGCAAGAACTGCTGACAGTATTTGCTCCAAAACTCACAGTGCATTTTCCGTATCTGCTATACTTTCTTCCATTTTCTGTTACTACGTAGAGGTAAATGAAGTTGTCGTGGGATCCAACTGCAAGTAAGGTGCCATCTACAACACAAAAGATTTCCTATAAATGAACAGAATGACTGTTTTCCAAACGTTAATCATTTCAGATTGATCACTAAGGTGATAGTCTCAATGAAAACAAGTGCTCACAACCTTTATTTAAGGACATGTAACTTTACATGACATCATTTTTCAGTCAGTATCTATTGACTTTGTGGGTATGTTTTTGGAGCAAGTTCTTTCACTTCTGCTTTTTTTAAGTAAGTATCCAATGGACAGGGGATAAAGCCTCAGACTGCACTAGATTTCCTCTCAACAGCAGGCATGTGTGAGTGTTCTGCATCACAAAAATCACTGTGTGGTTAGCTCGGCCTTGGAGTTGGGGATTGCACAGGAATCAGCACTGACTGATGGCTAAAGAAGACAAAGAGCATTCAAACATCACAAGCAGTTTTCTAACCTTTGTTGTCCTCACTTAAAACCAAAGTACATGGGCAAGAGTTGCTTTGAATCATGATCAAATGTCTCTTGTGTCCATGAACATCAGTGCTTTCAAATAAACTGCTGCACTTGGCAGATGTGGCAGCAGTAGGAGAGGAACATTTTGCCCACTGACATGGCATGTTATCCAAAAGCAAACAAGAAAGAGATTTATCAAAGTGTTCTTCCACCCAGTTTTAACAGTGAGGAGTCAAGTCTCTGATGACCTGTCATGCCATGTCTGAAGAGTACACTCAATACTGGCTTGGCCTCCATGTAATCCTATAGTAAATACGTAACGATCAGTCTTCAGAAACACCTGAGCTTAGTTTTATGGTTTTGTATTAATAAACTTGAAATTTACTAAGAAGAACATCAAATGTCACAGCTTTTTGACAGACTTTTCTGTTAACCCGTTACGTATTTAGCTGAGAACTTCCAATTTTTCTGGGAGCAATATTACTAATATTGCTAATTTTACTTATATTTACTTCTATAAGCGAATATTACTTATAACAGCAGAGTACAACGTGAAGGAAAGGCTGTAAAAGGCAACTGTAGAGTTTACAGTTGCACAACTCCAAGATTTAGCATACACAAGTAAATCTTTAAGCAAGTATTCAGTTATGGATTAAGCAACTTAAAGGATTTTTTCCAAAGCTCTGCTGTTTCTAGTGACTGGGGTGCTGTTTAACACGGGTTCACAGAGCAGACATCTCATTTATCAGCAATTATTGCGACTAGAAAAGGCTGCCTACCTACTGAGTAGCGCATCACCGAGAGCTGCTCATTGCCATCAGTGTGTATTGAAACCAGATCCCTCGTTTCCGCATCCAGAACAAACCACCTAGAGAGAGAGAGAGAGAATTCCTGTGAGAATTCCACTAAACAACAAAGGAAGCAAAACAGCAATAAGCACTGCCTGACTTCATCTTCTCATGCTAGCCCCTTAAGGGCAGCACAGCAAACATCTGGTTTTAATGGAAAGCTTTCCTGGTTCACAAAGTGATATGAGTTTCATAGTCCCAGACTGCTTTGGGTTGGAAAGGACCTTAAAGCTCATCCAGCTCCAACCCCCTGCCACAGGCAGGGACACCTCACACTAGAGCAGGTTGCTCCAAGCCCCTGTGTCCAACCTGGCCTTGAACACTGCCAGGGATGGGGCAGCCACAGCTTCTCTGGGCACCCTGTGCCAGCACCTCAGCACCCTCACAGGGAAGAGCTTCTGCCTTATATTAAGAATATATAAAAGATTCTACATAGAGCCCATTTTTCCCCCTCCCTTGAACACTGTAGTAATCACCATACACAAAGCATATTCTAATTTGGTATTTTCCCTTCAAACCTTTCCATTTCTATGCATAGTTTTATCAAAGAAGGAACAACCATTTACTGAGGTTCAATGGTTCATAACCATACAAACCTCCTGTATTTGACTGAAAGCACAGAGCTGTTACTGTGGTATCAAATCCAATGCAAAACTGCTGCTGCTTTTAAGAGCGCACACTGAACTTCATCTGGCATTAGGAGACAGCATTTTGTGACACCAGTCCTCCTCCAAAACTTGAACAGGAGATACTAGCAGCAATCCTAGCTGAGCATGGGAAGAGCCAGTGCACTATGACAATCTTGATAATAGAGCTTAAGAACGGAAGCACTGGTCACATCTAGTCTGATGTCATGAGATCTGCTCTCTTCAATCTTCCAAGCTCTCCCAACGCCATGGCATCTCTTTTCTTCCCTTTAAAAAACATACCAATAACCTAGCTCAAAAACGCTTTCAGAAACAAATACTTTCTGATTAAATCACCAGAGAAACAGCATCCTGAAGTAGTTACTATAGTTTTGCACTTACACCTGCAACTCCCATGTTTAGTTAATACTGAATGATGAACCATCAAGGCATTTATGAGAGAGTGAACAAACCAACCTATCTGACAAGCCTGGTTCCCTGGGATACTTCGGCTTCTTCATCTTAATGCCACAACAGATGCTGAACTGGTATAAATCTCAATAGCTCTGTTGAGTGATTTACCTCCTTATGGCTCTAGCTTATGTTGGTCTTGTCCTTCAACCTTCAGTTTTCTTAATAATGGCGTATTTAGTTCTTTCTGCAGTGCATCTGAGTACTCATACACATAGCACTCAAGATATTCTACATGATTAGGCATAGAAAGATCTACTTCCCTGCAAATAATACCACTGGCAGTATGGCAAACGGATCTGTATAGTGCCTTGAAAAACCCACTTTTCCGGTAGGATTTGCAGATACCAGCCCTTTTTAGTTTTCCAGCTGTGCATTCCCAGCAAACGGCACGATCCATAAACAGCTGTCTCCAAAACAGGCTTAATCCCAGAAAATTCATGATCAGGCACACAGCAGGTACTTGAAGAAGCGGTAACAAAACCTGCAGCAGAGCATTTGCCTGCAGCTCAGAAAGGGAAATGATACCACAATACTCATCATGGGAAGCGGTATGTGAAAAACACACCAAAACCACGATGATGTGTTGGCCTGATAAAAACACACCACTGGGAAACAACCAACAAGAATGGGAAAAGAGGAAAAGAAAATGCTGTTTTCTTCAGATGTCACAATTTGAACCATCAAACCCAGCTTTCCTAATGCTCCACTCCCTAGCCCTGTCTTACTGACCTCCGTACTGGAAGAAGAGCACCACTAGAACAGCAACACATAGACACATCCAAGGGTTTGGTTTATTAGGTCCCAAGCAGATTAGACTCCTTTAATATTTGCTTTATGCGTTTTGGGCTATGAATCAAGATATTAAATGACCTGTTATGGGTCTGAGATTATTTTCTTGTACATTAATCAAGATGTATCACGCAGCCCTTTTACTTTGGGAAATAACTCTCTTGGACCATTTGTTCTGGCACAGAAAGTACTGTGTGATGATCCTGGTTAGGCATTAAATTTGAAACTGGTCTGTTTATCTTGATTCACAACTCCATTTATTCCTCATCTACTTGTACATTTACCAGGTCTCATTTCATTTGTATATCTCAAACCTAGCACTGAATCATGCAATTTCAGAACTCAATAAAATATAATAGTGACAATGTAACTGCTTGGTTCCAAGAAGAACAGATTAAAAACCCAAACAAACCCAAAACGAAGGCCATCACCACAAACCCATCCAACACAGTACGAACTGCTTGCCTCAAGTAATTTAAAAGTAAGAATTGAAACTGAAAATGCTGAACTGAAAACGTGATGTTAAATGTTCTGGGATGTGTGTGTGCAGGAGTCAATCAGAAGCAAACAACAGCATGAATGCTTCAGCCACTCCACATACCTTGATTGTGCTTTGAGGTGATTTCAAACATGCCTAGTAACTCTCAAAACATGGAGCCTGACCTTCTTTTCCCTGTTTCAAGTACTATTAGGCCAGTATCTTCCACTCTGTTTAATCAAGGTACAAACATTTCTTTAATTCAATGCTATAATTAGAAAGAGATGAAGAAGGGGAAAGGTACAATGTGGAAACCAAATACATGAGAGTTCAGCAAGATTTTTCTCAGGAAGGTAAAAACTAGGTTCCTAGCCTGATGTTATAGCTAAGGAATTTAGTGCAGACTGCATCTTCATTTTGTAGGAAGCAATTCCCTATAAAAGTACTTAACATCTTATGTTTCCAGGACAATCGAAGGGTGTTGTAAATGCTCAGCAGTTTCTAAAACCCAAACTTCCAATGATTTTAAGGCATGAAAAGATTTGTAGGGGGAGAAAAAAGCACACACAAAGAATTCCAAATTTTCTTAAATGCACTACGCATTATTTTATCATTGAGTTGCCAACCATGAGGTATAACTGAAGAACAGGATAAACATGCTAGTAGATTCAGTATCTGCTCTTCTCGCTGTTCGAATGCTATGAATAGTCTGTTATTCCTTTTAATTACTACTTGCTACAAAGACATTGCAGGAGACTCCTTTGTTGGGAGATGGTATCAAGCCAGCGTTGGACTATGAAGTAACACAAGGTTTTTCCACCACTAAAAGAAGCCTGAATTGAACGATTCAGCTTGTGTTCTGATAACTTTCCAATAGGCAATGATTTCAGGAAGAATAGGAACAGCTCAAGAGCACTTCATTGCAGCAGTGTGCCGTGTCTGTCTTAGAGAAGTTCACTTGCCTCTCCACGTCAAGATAGAAGGTTGCAAGTGTTGTTTGGTTTGGGAAAGAGGAAGATCTGTACTCTTCCTGTCTTATAAACTGTTATAACATACAGACACACTATTCAAATATATGGTACTTGGTAGAGCCAATAAGGAGTGCTCATGGAACCCTCTACAAAAACAACAGATAAACAAGCCAAAAGCAAGATCTGGGCTTTCATGAAAGCATAGTTAAAAACAAAACAGACTATCAACAGTCAAGTAACCTTCTGCCTCCATCTAACCCATGTAAGAAAGACCTGCCCTCTTCCCCCCAAAGCTTTTTAGGCTGTATAACCTCAAGCAAAAAGAAAAAGCAATTAAAGTATATATGATGCACAGCATCAAACCATCTCCTTTAAACTTTCAATCATCACAAGTCACTTTAAAGACATTTACCTGCCCGAGTGCGTTCCTATTGCGACCACTGCTCCGCTGGGATGGAAGTCAGCACAGTGCCCTGGTTCCTGAATGGGGAAACACAGACATGTCACTCACTGTTCTGCTTCTTACAGTTAAACACCTCTCCTTGTACCAAAGCTACCCTAGAAGTTTGAGGTGAACTGACCCAAGAAAACAGTCAGGTAGCAGCACGCTCTCTTAGTGACATGCATTACATGAGCTTCCTGACAGTAAAAAGCCTCAATTTCTGTGTAAAAAGATACTTTTGCTTGGGTATTAGGACAGAACTAGGCAAAACGTAAAATGAACAATGACAATAAGGAAGGACATCTAAAGCCAAACCTTGCACAACTGTCGGATATCCTGTTTCAATTGTCTGAATAGCTGGGAAAAAGGTTAAACTGAACAAGAACAAAGGACTAAGTTTTGTCAGGATGTCATCAGACAACAGTAACCAGATTATAGCCTGCAGTGTCTGATGAGCTTAGTTAAGCTTATCAAAACTTACAAATAGCTCTTTCTAAAGCCAGAACTACAGGATTTTTGCTCTTGCAATCAGAAGGGACAAGGGTGTTGCAGAAACCAGTTTTTTTCTCCTATTTTTCAGCTTTCTATTTAACACTAAAGGGTTACATACATCTAGCAGCCTGGTCCATTCCAGTGTGTGGTCCACAGAATTCCACATACAAACTTGCCTATCTTGAGCACATGTTAAAAACAGGTCTTTGAAAGGATGCGATGCCAGTCCCCAGAGTTCATCTGTATGTCCCTGGAAAGAAAACACACAGGATTTAACAATGAATGGAATAAAGGCTCTCCTAAAGTAACGCACCAGCAGGGAAAGCCTTCCCACTGTTGGGTTATAGTTTAAACCAAGCTGTGCTCACCTGTACCTCTACCAGGAAACCATCGTTGTATGTGCCCCGCAAAACAAAGTTTCGTGAAGTACCCACTAGAAACTGATCTGCTTTTCCTTCTGCTACTGCTCTGATGGTTCCATACTGGTCAGGAACCTAGGAGAAGAGACAGGAGAAACCACATCGTGCATCCTGACAGGTGTTTATTGCTGAAGGCCACAAATAGCGCACAACGACAGTACCAGAACTGCAGCTTTCCCAGTTCAAAGGAACAACTTAATCACATAATACTAGATCAGGACTTGAGCTGAAACCTATCTCCTTCCTTTGGTCAGTACAAGCACCCAGATGATCTCACTCCAAGACAATCACGATCATGCCATTTTAATATGTCTTACGAATTCAATTACATGGATTCTTAAGCGTCAGAGACACTGAAAAAAGGCACTCCACAACCTCACAGCTCACAAGGACAGCAATGATACACAATAGAGCTTCCTTTTCAAAACACCTTGTGAAAACTAAGAAAAATCTTGTAGCCCACAGTAAATGCTTCCTGGTTTTCTTAATGCTTTCTGATTAGCCTCAAATGAATGTTCCTATGCCTTATGTCAGCAATGACTTGCATTTCTATTGAGTTTCTTTATTGTATGCTTGAATTCTAAGGCACTGCTTTATTTTACAGTGTGCATTTGTTTGGTTTTCTAAATTCTTTCTCTTGAGAAAACACCCTGATTTTAGCCACCCAAGATGAAGAGATCAATGTCAGCATTCAGGAAGTTGTCTGTCAGGGTTCTGGTAATATTTCTCAACATAAAAAATTAGCTTTAACATATTATTAACAAAAGGAGAACAGTGGCACTGATGTGAACAGTCTGTTACTTAAGCCTAAGAGTTTTAAGTCAATTCTTACTTACTCTCAATCATGTTTTCTAGAGGTCAATATATTAGATTCAAAGTAATAAACTCGAGATGGAAATTAACATGTTTTAAGGAAAAAATGCTGCTATAAATGGACACGAGGTAAGTGGGGTAAACCATTATTAGAACAACTGTTTAAAAGGAATCTATTCTTTCAAGAGCTCATCCTATTGTCATGGAATAAAAAGTATTTAAAATCCATAATGTCCATTATTTTTCCAGTCCATCCCCATTTACCTATGACAGCCATACAGCCAAATCACAAAGCCATATGTATTCACTAAGGTGGTTTAGGATAAAGTTAAAAGAAGTTCCTAACATAGCTTATGAATCATTAACTCTTACAGAATACCCACATGTATTCCCTGGACTGTTTGCCTTATGTCAAACCTCACCCAGCAATATTGTCTTTCTCCAGACAAGCAAACTTAACAATATGAAAAACTATCTTCAAAAAGGGATGAATTCAAACCAAACCAAACCCCTAAAACCTAAGGAAGGGCCTGGAGGAAAGGAAAACATTAACATGTCTGTTCAATTTAAAAAGAGGAGAATTTCAGCCTCATAGGGGCTCATCTATAGGCTGAAAATGTGAACATCTGTATAACAAAGCATTGCCATCCACTGAAAAGGACAGCAATCAGAAGATACTCTATCATCCTAACTACTGGTCCTTCAAAGGGTGGGAGGGCTCTCTCTTGCCAGTCTATACCCAGCTCATGGCAATTCCTTTGTCACTCTTTTTTTCTTACCTCAATTTCCCTTTCGGGATTCAAATCATGATCCCACAGGATGATCTTCCGGTCTTTCCCACCTCCAGTTAGCAGCATCCCATTCCTCATTTGACAGAGTGTGAACACACTGCCATCGTGAGCTTTGATTTGTCTGCTTATCTGATATACTCCTACATGCACAGAAAGGAAACAATAAAGAACACTACTCGGTTTTCCAGCTGGGGTTTACCAGAAGCTGTGCCTCTTGGCAGAACAATGAAGTAACTGTGAGCAATAAATAATACCATTTGGACTGTCAGGCTATTAGCATTGCATTAGTATTGCAAACACAAGGTGGTAGTGTTTTCTTACAGGACAAAATGATCAAGCCCATGCCTTTCGGAAGAGAAACATTTTTGTGACTGATTGTCCTACAACCTGTAAAGGCAAGAACAACTATTTGCAAAACACTTTCATCTTTCTGCCTTCCAAGGAAACACAGTTTTTCCAGATGCAAAAGAAACTGCCTGTTAGAGTCAAGAACTATTCAGCGAGTCATTATTAGGAAAGAATTAAAGCTATTTTATTAAAAGAAACTCAAAGATTTGTTGTCTATAGTCTCATGGGAATAAAAATCATATTATTTATAGCAAAGTTTCCAGGATGCATGAACCTAATATCTAATGCTGGATATTGCCACACTTAAAAATAGCATGACCAGCATTTGGCATCTATCAATATAGCAGTCTGTGCAAAGAAAAACACTGGGAAGAACGGAAGAGAGATGAGAAACTCAAACAAGACAGGTAGCAAAGGAAGCCTTTTGCATCTGAATCAGGTCTTCATGTCAAAATATCTGCTGAAGGAAAGTGTATTTTTAGAAAAGAGAGAATTTGGTGCTTTGAGACTTGAGTATTTTCAAATTACAAGCACAGAAAAAGCCTAAACCACCACCCAAATAAATACCAGGTTAACTTCGCTGCCTCTGCCTTCGGCTCAGGTCAGTTCAGGTCAGCATGCTCCCTCCCTGGGAAAGGAGTTTGAGATCGAGTCCTGTGACCAATCTAATGTGATAAACCCATCAACAGATCCCTACTCATGGATCCCACATTTAATTAAGCTAATGTAAATAAATGTTCTGTTCAATATCTTTTAAGATTATACTAGGAAAAGGTTATTTTGGCACAGGAATGTCAGTTAATGTGTTAAATTACTTTTCCATTGCAGTTAGCTTCAATGACAAGAAAAAGACTTACCTACAAAACCAGACTTACCATTAAAAATGTACTTTTGACAGGACTGTTTTCCTGGCATACCCATTTAAACCAGTGTTTGAAATAGCTGCCAAGTGCAATAAATTATCCTTGCATTTATAAGTTATCTTAGGGCTCAACTGTGCCAGGTCTGCATTTGTTGGCTAACAAATCATTTTCCTTACTTTCTTACAATAGCTTTGCCCTAAAGAAGAAGTTTAACCCAAATTTCAAATCAGATGGGTTTTAAAATATATTTTACAGCCAAGACCTGAGTATGTGTGTTTTTCCTTCACATGTAAGTCCTGTGCAACATTAGCTTCAACACTTCATGGTATTCCTCTGAGACTAAGCATGGCACAACATATGCCTTAAGAGGCAAAGGCAGCCTGCAGAATCCTCAAACTGATCCTATAGCCTCAGGATGAAAGGAAAGCTGATGAACTACCCACGGTTTGAAATGTGAGACATTTAAATGAAGTAGTTTTCCTTCATTTCAGGCACAGTCTCATTAATCATTGAGAAACCGTATTGCTCCTAAGTCAACATTCATGAGGCCTAAAGGACTTCAATACCACCAGTTAATAATAGGCAGCGTACATCCCTTGTCATGCCTGCTTCGCTATTCCTTTTCTAATGCAATCTTATATGTTTGTCTTCTACAGCCCAGCTAAAATCTGTGATTAACTGTGAATGTCTCTTACCTTTAGGTCCTTTTCCTGGAGTAGATTCTACAGTAGTTTTGCCCCATATAAGTATAATCCCACCTGAGTCTCCAGTGAGCACATCACCATTTCCCAAAAAAGCTAAACACTGGACAAATTTGGGTTTTTCATATTTCTGAAAAGCAAAAGAAAGGGATAATTGCCTGTACTCTTTCCATCACTAGTATAATGTATCACCCCCAGACACCCTGCACACACATGAGCACAGTTTAACCTTTGTTGTTTCTTTACCCCTCTGCTCAAACAGTACAAGGGAACAACAGAGCAAATGTATAGGAAGCACAAGCAGATCATTCCATTGATCTAAAACTGACCTGCTACCAAGACATTCTTACCCCAAATATCCCTTGCTTCCTTGATAATGAATTGCCACTCCAGGTCCAGAAAAATATATGAGATTTGCCACATGTTATTATGGTATTTGCATCAGTTGGATGGAATTCTACAGCAAGAACAACTTCATTTGTAGTCTGCAATAATAACAGAAAAGATGTTTATTCAGGTGGGACATTAACTGCTGGAAACAGATATAAAATACCAAGTTTCAGAACAGAGATAGGAGGAACTAAGCAGCTCATTGTATGCTTGAAAGTATCCGTAAGTGTTCTGTGCTAAATCAACTGCCTGAATGACCACACGTAACATTCTATCTATCGATACTTTACATTCGTAACAGACCTTTATAAAACTTCAGTAGAAAAGTCAGGGTTTTACATTCACTTTTTAAATCACAAAAACTTCTACCCTCTGGAATAGCTCAGATGTCTGCAACGGAAAGTGAATGATGCATAAGAGAGATTTATTTATAGAAGATACTTGCTTAGTCTACACACAGACTGGTTTTCTCTTCTGGATAACAAAGGCATGCCAGAGGCAAGTGGGACTATGGTAACATAGAAGGATTATATCCATTATTCTCTTCTGAAATTCCATAAAAAGTCCTTTCAGTTCTTTCCTCCTCACAAAGAGAAGCCTGTATATCTCAAAACTCAGACACATTGAGTCCTACCTTTGTATTTTTACTGGCTGCACATTCTGAATTACTAACACATCAGTGAGCATTTCACCCTTTACCAACAGACTTTACAAACTGAGTATTCAACTTCTAATGTATGTTCAACCAAACTGTCTTTGTAGACAGCCTCCTGAAGGCAATGGCTCTACAAAACACTTAAAGTAATGCATCAGTGCATTTACTTCTGTGGCATTTAAGCCCATGCTTTAATGGAGTATACATAAAACTGCTGCTCAATCGGCACGTGTGGGAGCATCCTTTGCCAACTCACCATTTTTTGGCCCACTTTAGAAAACAACCTTCATTTTTTGTTGATGGCCATATTAACTGAATTCTGCTTCTCACACACAGTTTCCTCCATGTGAGCAGATCTGCTATATCCACAGATCAGATGGAAACTAAGGACTGAAAAATGTAATGGAGTTCAGCTGAGAAAAAGCTTCTGTTCTGCACCCGAGCCCAAGGGGTGAAACTCTGCTCACACAGAAGGTGCTTAAGATACTGCAAGATCAATCCTAAAAGTGAGTAAGAGCAAGCTGACCCTGACCAGTTGTTTTGATCTGACCTGAAACACCAGAGAACTCCCTGGAGAGTAAAAAGAAGTCAAACCAATGTCAACAAAATAGGCAATATAACTAGTATGGGTCAAAGAAAATGGGTCAAACTAACATGATTCTGTTATGTGAAATTACAAGTGTGTGATCATATAGAGATATATGCTTGTAGAGTATTCTGCTTGCTGACACATGATTAAAAACTTAGTTCCACATCAAAGTACTGTCTCCTTGCTTGGTGTTGTATAAAGCAAAGCAAGATGTCTCAAAATATGGATTTCAATAGAAATTTACTATTGGATGGGGTGTTTCCAGTGGAATCAACTTTACCCGAACGCTGAGCACACCAGTGTGAGCGTTTCTCCTGATCAGAAATGGAGAAGGTTAGAAAAGAAACACGAAAGCAGAGAGAACTGCAGCCTGCAGAAGTACCAGTGGCCTTCACATAAGAAGAGACACATGTACCAGGAATCACTGCATGCAACTCAGTTCAGACAAAAATGAGAATAAGGAATGTCTGTACGTATTTAGGCTTTTTTAAAGCACCAACTACAGTCTGAGCCATCACTGCAGCTTCTGGAAGTTCCCATTCACTGATTTTTAAATTAAGAAAATATTACAGAATGGATTTGAATTGGCTCTTAGGGATAAGTAAAATGTAATTTACAAGTGCTCCCATACTTAAAACTTTTCCAGTCTACAAGTTAAGAACACGGGTTTTTTTGTGCCCTTACACAAGGCTGCAGTATTCCAGAGTTGCCATTTCCAAGCAAGATCAAATGTGTGTCTCACAAACTGTTGTATATATGGGAATAAAACCACTTTTATTCCAGGATAGTAATTTATGCAAGAATTACCTTGATTTCTGCTATTTTTGATTTCCTCTGCCAATCCCACACAGTGAGCATGTGCTCATTAGAGTCATCGATTACACACAGATGAGTACCAGAATCCTAGAGGTGAAAGACAAAGAAGTGCTGACAAAGTCCCATCATACTGTTTAGGGACAGGTCAGGTCAGTAGTATTTAAAAATCCATAAAGGTACAAATATAGACTAAGCAAGTCCTTTTAAAGTAATTGTAAGCTTGATATATATGGTATAAAGGCAACACTTTCTGAACAAAATGATGCTGACAGAATGCTCCGAATCACAGCCCTGCCCAGCCTGTAGCTGTGCCTGGCATTGCCCCATAAGGAACACATAAACTTCACTAACACACTTATAATCCCCACGCAGATCATCTGGACAACCTCGTAGCCACACTCCAGAGATTTCCTTCCCTTTTACAAGGGATTGGATCAAGTACCCCAGCGAGTAACCGCGGCCATCTTACCGCTTTGGAAAAATCCAAACACCCCACTCCACGCTCAAAGGTGCCGAGGCCGATAACCTGCAGTGTCACCAGGCTCACCGAGTCCCAAACCCTAACATGGGGCTGCAGAGGCTGTGTGAAAGAGCAACGGGACAGTCAGTGTCATCAACAGTGGAAGCATCATCTGCAAGCGTCACGGTGTGTCAAGCAGATGCTACCTGAGTTACAAGCTGCAGACCGAAATGCAGGATGAGCTGTGCCAATGATGCTGCTGAGCAGTATCTTGAAGGTCAAAAGGTGAGAGTCAAGACAAACTTGCTCCCTGTGTCTGGGCTACAGGCATGGCAGCGCTGCTGCTGAGGCAGGAAATTAAGCATCCGGTAGTTACGAAAGCAAATCTCTGCCCAATTGAAGTCATTGAACAAATAATGGAAGAGTCATCTTGCATTTCAGACCCCAGCCCTAGCAATCTTCTGCAACAACTGATAATAATGATAAAACCTTTGGGTTTATATATAAAGTAGGAAAAAAATAAACCAAAATAAACATAAACCCTGGTGCACCGAGTACCCTGACCATCACCAAGCAGTGAAGGAACATGTCCATGCTTGTGTTTCATACAGATCCCAAACCAGCTTAGCTTCAGAAATGTGAAATAATCACAAATGAAGTGGGAATTAAGTTGACTTAAGGACAGCATTCACCATAGAAAGTGACAATAAATCATCCCACTGATGGAAAACAAACCAACCAGCCCTAAGAGAGTCAGTGGAAATCATACCAGCTATACAAACCCCCTGCATTCATTTCTTACAAAATCTAAGGAATCAAGTTGAACATCTGAATAAGGGTTATATTTAACATGCTTCTGCCCCTCATAGGATCTGTCTTCTTTTGATTCCCCACCCCCTTTTTTCCCCCCTGTCTGTAACTTCATGAAGATCATCCAATTATTCCAGTTGTGACAGAGTTTGCCAAGACCCAGAGACAAGAGCATTTAAATGCACTTGCTCTCCAATGGACAAGTTTGCAGGAAGGCTTGACACACCTTCCATGAATTCTCAAAGTTGGTTTCCTCTTCCATGAAGCCTTAAGAGTGACCCACAGAACTGGGGACGTGTTCTCCTCTGGGGTAAGACTTATTGAGAGAAACGTGACAGAAGTCATGTGGCTTTAGAAACCAATTACAAGTGCCATGTTTGCTTGCAAATTACAATTGAGTTGCCTGTGGCACAGGTAAAGGACTTTCTGAGCTTCTGCTCTTTTTGGCTGAGTGCTGAGCTGTAACTGTCCTTTGCTAGACATACAGGCTGTCACCTTAGAAACAGCAACATAGCTCAGGAAGTGCAGTGCACAAACTCAACTGCAAACAGAAGGTGATAAGGAGATTATAAAAACCAAAACACGCTTTTTCCTGATGTTCAAAACAAGATACTACTGCTCAACAGCTCTATTACTTACCCTTCCATCTTTATCCACTCCAGCTAACTGTCCTGTTGCAATTCTAATTTTGTCTGGATGAACTGCAAGACTAAGACAGACAGAAATATGACTTGCTTTTGCTGTCAGAGGTCTTCAAAACTGAGAGGTTTTTTGTAAAGTTTTCTTTCTCAACAGAAGCCCATGAAGACACTTAATGATCCTAAAGCCCATTTTCAATGAGGCAGCCTGAATGGTTTCCATCAGGCTATTTAATTACACACTGTAGGGATCAGGCTCTTGCAATGGTTGCTGGCACACAACCAGGAACGCCAGAAGAGCCACCTCCACATGTGCTCTGACACATCTCAGGTTTGCACAATACTGGGAAACCACTTGTAACAAGATATACATTGAGTCATGATGAACTTCCTACATGGAGTTCTGTTTCACATTTATAAGCACTACAGCATAGTTTATGCCTAAACCTACAGACAGCACGAACCTGGGGGAAAAAAAAGAGCTGAAAAGGTGGCTGAGGGCTTGTGAACCCAGGGGTGAGGAATTACTGCCACTTGCAATGACTTACTGATGCAGTTGTACTAACTGAGTTCTCCCGTGTGGTGCACTACAAATGCAAGTAAAAAAATCTGCTTTTGCTTACCACATTTTGCTTTGGAACTGATGTGAAAAACCTGATTTTGCAATACACATCCTCTTAGTCCTAGCCATTTTCTGACTGACCTTCTTATGTGCTTTCTCTATGAAATTACAGAGGTGAGGAAAGCCATTGAAACAGGAACGGGGAGCAGGGGAAAGCCTGAAGAGGTCAGAATGCTGGACACAAAAACCATTTACAAGTCAGAACAGCTTTCTGAATGGAAGTGCAGAACACAAGACTGACAGCATTCCTCCCACAGGAAGTAATTGCAGTCATCAAAGCACAGCCAGGAGAAGTTTAGATGGCAACCCTTCTCCATTGAGGTACATAGGGAGCTTATATTCACCACTGCATTACGTGCTCTGCTCTTCAGACTAAATCAAGTCAACAACTGCCCCCACAATAACATCACCTTCAATTTCCCTGCTTCTCTGTCTTGTTTTACAAACATCTTTCTGATTTCCCAGATGCTCTTAATACTTGGATGGGGCAGCTATTAAAAAAGGAGAAAATTAATGCTCAGTTTTCCCTTCGGTTTTCTCATCTTTAAGGCTACACTTTTGCCATATTGCTGGTAAATCACTGCTTCGGAATTAGGCTGACAATTGTTCATTTCTGGGATATTTCTTTAGAGTAATTTAACTCAAAGGTCTTTAATCTGGCACTCTTACATTGTCTAAATAGCCTGCTGGTTTACATTCAAGCCAGAAATCCTAAGCTAGCATGGCCTGCTCTAGCACCATTCATTTGTGCAGTGCTTACTAAAGTGAAATCTACTGGGACTGATGGAACAGAAAATAACTACAATTATGATGACACTGAGCTCATACAGACAGTAGGAGAGAATAAAACCAATACATTTCTGCATTATTACACACATACTTACATGCAAGTGTTCTATACTAACCATTTAACACAGTCTGTGTGACCCAAGTAGTGTCGCTGAGTTCTCTCCTCGTAGTTAAATAGTACCACTGCTGATGCTATGAAATACACGATTTCTCCGGTAGGGAGGAGGTAAACGTTGGCTCGACAGTCTCTTCCACGATACCCATATCTATACATGTATTTTTTTTCAAGTCAAGGTTTTCACAATCCCTGTACAGCAGGAAAATAAAACCAAAACCAAACCACAGCTTTCCCCTCAAAGGCCTCCCTGGGAGCTCTCATGTCACCAAATGCATTTAATGTTTTCCCTCTGGAAGTCCCGCACGATTTCAGGAACACAATGTTAAAAACCAAACCCAAGCCCATACAACTGGAGTTCAGGAAACCAAATCCCTTAAAAAGTGATGCTCAGTGATGTAAGAAGTAAAATATATGCTGAAGTAGAACAAATACAGTGTTGGCATCGTATGACAACCTTCATGTGACATTTCATTAGGTAACAGCAGGACCCACTGTTCTGGTTTAACATTTCTTACAGCAAGAGAGCTGTGCGTCTTCGCCCTGAGCACCAGAGTATTCCTTTCCTCTGGCCTCTTAAAAGAAGTGCATGAACATTCCCAGTGTCCTTCAGACAAAGGCAAGCTTCTGCCCAGCGGCTGCCAAGTTCAGGCAGCATTTCTTTGCACTGTTTTAGGGTGTTTTTAAAGCAAACAAAACTCAAAAGGCACCAACACAGTGAAAAATGCTCTAGTTCAATCTACCAAAACTATATGAAAGGGATGACTGTGGTAGGAAACCTGCTGCTAACGACATTCAGAGGTTTTACCCAGAGAACCAGCCTTGGTTAGCACTGATCAAAAGTTATTACAAGTCATTATTTCTTTGAAAGCAGAAGAATGTTCTTCAGCTAGCCTGTTGATGTGGCTGGCTGACTGTACTTCAGTTCCCAGGGTCACCAGCTGCAACTAACTTAATAGCTCACAATTTTAACAGTTGCTCTGTAGCCTCAGAAAAGATCATTTTCCTGTTATGTCCTGCACTTCAGAGAACTCCCCACTTCCACGCCAAGTAATACACCTGCAACAGCAAGGAAAATATAGGACATACATTCAGCAACTTAAGCTAAAGGATTCCAGCCTGAGTTCCTCATTAACCAGGTAAATAAAAGGAAGTCAGAGACTCACACAGGGAAAGCAGGATGGATGAGGCTGGCCCTTTCCCATACAGAAGAGCAGACGCAGTAGTCCAATTTGGGAGTATCTCAACTGCCATCATCTACGCTGATAGCTGGACCTCTGTTTTTCCTGGAAAAGTACTACCAAATATACCACCACAGCCCTTCCTGGGCACCCCACAGCCCCCGAACGTCCCACCACACTACCTTCCCTCTTCTGCAGTCCCACTGAGCCACAGGACTGCTATACCACAGGCATACGTGCAAAATTAAACACATGCTGTAAGTAAACAACAGTTCAAAGGGGACACTGCATTCAGTTGTCTATTAAATCTCTGCAGAGTATGGAAAACCAAACAGATTTCTATCTTGCTGTCTTCTGTTTGGTTTAGAACAAAACAGCTCCTCTGAAGCAGAGGTTATTCCCTTGCTCAGCAAATGGTATTGAGAGGAATGCTGATACAACACAATGCTACAGGCAAGAAAAAAGAAAGGATGTCTCTGTTTCTCCTCCATCCCTGTTTCCGTTCCCACTAAATTTTCCTGTTTCTTCTTCTTTCAAACACTGATGGAACAAAAAGAAACTCCAGAATGGCCTTTTATTAAAAACCAAACCAAGCACACTACTGACCTTCCAAAAACAATGGGCTGCAAACCAGTGAACATCTTTTGTCTATCCAGAAGCATGAAGAATACTATCCTAAATCCCTTCTCAGAGGAGAAAGGCAGATCTTGTTAAACTCCTGTGTACAATAGGGACTGTATTGATAAGGATTTAGTAAGATTGACATCTTTGAACATGCATCCTAGAAAAGTATTAATGATTTATGCAAACATGCCTTTCCACAGCAGAAGTCCCCCATGCAAAGTTAAGGCTAAAAACCACCCACCACTGAGCTCTGGCATCCACAAGACTACAAAAAATAGGTTACATGTTCTCAGTCCATTCCTTTCCTTTCCCCCACTACGTAACAAATGCCAAAGAGTGGCTGCATTTTCTAGGAGCTTGTTTTTAGTAGTGTGTAAAGGAACAACCTGCTTTGCTAACCCTGTGCATGCAGAACAAGATCTGATGCGGCTGTATCTTCCTGTCTCCAAAACTGAAAAGTGATTTTGTGCAACTTCAGAGAGATCAATACTAAACCCTCCTAAATTTTACTGCCTTTTCCCTATTGTTTTCTTCACCATCATACCCAAAAGATACCCTACACTTATAAATATACTGGTCTGATTTAGGATGCTATTTCCTTAAAGAGATTCCAAAAGCATATGGACAGTCTATTTAGAATAGATTTATTTCACTTTAATTAGCCTCCAACAGAAAACTGGTTTAATAAGTGTGTCCACACTGGGATTTGCACCTACTTATCTGCGGGTGTGATTTTATGATCAGTTTTCATCAGTCCAAACTGCTCCCTAGTGCTGAAAAAGTAGATCTGATCTGCATCCAGTTTGCCAGTTCTAGCTCTTGTATGTTTGTGGAGCAAAGCAAATCTATGGGTTGATTCTGCTGAAATTTAACTGCAAAACAAGGTTCCATTTCACCAGATCAGTGATTGATCCAACCCATCCTCAGTCACATGAATGCCAGCATCAGCACCCAAGAGCTGTGACAGGAGGAAAGATGGGCATCAGAGCTTCGCACAGTAGGAATAAGAGCTCCATATTCCTTCCAGTCAGACTTTGAATCCAAACCTTTCCTCCTTTATGGGCTAAGCTTCCACAGCCTCACTGAAAAGTTCAGAGGACATGAGCTCCACAGCTGCTCCTCAGAACCAAATACCCAACATTATTTTTCAAGCATCCATTAGTTAATAAAAGCAGGAAAAAATAATAGAGGAATCTTCTTTCCTGAAGTGAGTAACAAGGGGTGGCTTGAAATACCTGTATGCCTTAGTGAGTAACAAGTGTGCTGAGAGAGGCACGGGCAGCCTCTGTCTGTACACATCCTGGCATATAGCAGTGTATCATCAACATTCCTAAAAATCTTCCTGCCTTCAGCAACACAGAGGGATCAAACTTGAGATTATTCCATGAACTCAGGTGCTGCTTCGACATGTTATTTTACTGAAGTACTGAGAAGCTTACACAATCATATCTTACTGGAAGAATGTGCAGAGATGGGGGTGGTCAGGAAGACCCAAATGTGTGCAAAAGCACATCTCTTATAATGAACTTAATGTCCCATCTACTAAGCCTGGGGAATTGTCACTAACCACGCACCAACTCCATTCTTCAAATGATAGATTTATTTAGTGTGTTTAATGTAAACTAGTCTCCAAGACATTATTAACCCCTTCACTTTGGAGCTGAAACAAAGAGGCAGTGCAAAGGATGGTTGCTTCTTCAATCCTTGCTCCATAGGTAAGGACAATGAGAAATTCAACATCTTCTGTAGCTCTAAAACCCCCTCAAAAAGAACAGAAACTGAAAACAAGTTCTTGAAAGCAAAGCCTCCATTAATATAGCAGAGGGGGACATTTCTGAAACTCTATGTGCTTCCAAAGACACTTTCTTTCACACTAAAACTTAACTGCAACTAGTTTAAACAGCAAAACAAAGTATGGCTTTCCTGTGCGTACCTATTTTGCAGCTTAAACTCATTTCAACTGCAGCTACAAACCATTTCAATTGCTGTATTACATAGAACTCTTCTTCCCTGCTCTTAAGTAATTTTTACCTCTAAACACAAGACCAGATTCTAAAAGGGGAGGGGGGGAAGGCAAGACAAAAAGGGACCAGCAAGTAGTTCCTGATGTCAAGGATACACCCACTCCAGTTTTAACTTCTCAGGAGGCAGCTCTGTCCTAATATCATCATAGTTTTCTACATCTGAAGGAATGAACATTGTGATTGGTCGACCTCGCATGAACATCTTGATATATTCTCCCTCTGTAGAAACAAAGAAGAGGATTAATCGTGTGGCAAGTTTACACAAGAAGTAAGCACGAAAGGTATAAGCACGGAGCTGCAAATAACACTTGTGACAGAACAACTGCTTTTGAAAGGCGAGCTTGGGAAAGGACCCATTTTCTTTGGCAAAGAAAACAACCCAGAACACTGAACACACACATGCACAGGAAGCGTTAGTTGGGGTTTAGATAGAACAGACTCAGCATGTAACGTTTTAGACATGCAAATTCAATTGTAAAGGCAAATCTCAGATTCAAATCCGAAATGGAATTAAGTAGTCACAGAATCACAGGCTAATGTATTTCAGGTTGAAGGGGGCCTCAGGAAGTCTCTAAGTCCAACCTCTGGCTCAAAGCAGCCTCAGCCATGAGGTCAGATGAGGGTTGCTCAGGGTTTTGCATAGTCCAGCCTGGAAAACCTCCAATGATGGAGATGGCACAACCTCTCTTGGCACCTGCCAGCACGCCCAGGGCCTTTCCCACAGAGCAGCCCCTCTGTCCTCAGCCTGTATCCCCGAGGGCCAATTCCTTCCTTGGCATTTGTCCCTGCTCAATTCTGTGAGGTTCCTGCAGACCCGTCCCTCCAGCCTGCCCAGGTACCCCTGGTTGGCAGCTCCACCATATGAGCTGCTGTTATCTGCACACTTGGGTGTGCTCTGTGCTGCCTGCTCCATGTATTGCTGAAGATATGAAACAGGACAGGGCCAGGACAGACCCCTGCAGACCCCACTTGTACCTAATGGCCAGCAGGTAGAGTATGACCCTCTCAACACTCCACTCATCAAACTGGTTCCTTTACACACCTACCCAAACCATAGCAGCCAACCTGAGAGACAATGATACTGCAGGAGAAAGTGTCCAAAGCTTTGATGAAGGAGTATCATCTGGAGTTATGTACCATCACAAAGTAAATATTAATTATTAATCCACTGAAATCATTCACTGCATACTACTGCATCTTGCATCATATCCTAAAGAATGGAAGGAAGCAACAGCTCCTTATAAAGACTCCAACACTGTCATTCTAACACTGTTATATATATTCTAACACTGTCATTATAACACTTCCTGTAGCTGTGACAAAATACATACATCTCTCTGCTGGAGCACCTGAGCACTTCACAAGCCTTTGGGAGTTCCTTTTGAAGGAACATGAGATTATTTTCCACTAGAATAAACTAATTATAGAGTAGCAGAGTGGCTTGGACAAACACACCAGCTAGCTGCTGGAAGGTAAATGATGTGGATTTAAGGAATATATGATTACAACTGGTGTATTAGGTGCCATACAGAACTCCCCACACTATGACAATAAACATCTTCTAACCTCAGAAGACCAGAAAAGCTCTCAGAGACTTTTAAAAGCCTTTATGCCCTACCCACCCAGCAAAACCAGCACTGAGGTTAAACCAGGCCTCAATTCCACCAGGATTAATGCCAGCCTCCAACACTGCTGACACAGGAGGTTCATTTTGAAAGGCACTGATGACCAAGACCCCAGTGTTTAACTCATTTTACTTCAGTGAAGCTGTAACTTTTTATCAGTCTTCAACTTCTTTCATAATGAGTATCCACTGTTAAAGTAACCAATAGCACAAACACAAAGTAATATCCTGTTCTGCTTTGAACCTGGAATTCCAATGTTTTTATGGGTAGGAATTGGAAAAATCACAGAAGACAGGGAACTCAAGAGTTTCAAACCACAATGTGAACAGTTGAGCAGAACTAGAGTAGAACAGCACCTGTGAAGCAGCAATACAGTATTAAGACATCTCTAATCACATTTGATACAACCAATACCGAGCCATAAAATTCAATCACTTTTGTATTTCTCTCAAAAGACAAACACGAACAGACTTCCCTGTAAATATATGGTATCTCCTCAGTATTTCTTCCTCTGATACTGGACTTAAATGGCTCATCTATCATTGTATTAGTCTTCTAAATAAGGAAAAACCTTTATGCATGTTTTTTACAGTGCTCAATTAGAGGAGATGGAAACAGTCATCCCACTGCTTTTTAAGAACAAATCCAGTTCCTTTTAGTGAGAACCCTGGGAGTCGATCCACTGACAACAGTGGAAAACGTGTCCTCAAATCAAGTATCAAAGAACAAAGAAAATCACTTCCCAGTAACTAATTTTGAGGGGTTTTTTAACCAAAGGTGCATTGCTTCACTGCATGCTAAAGATTGGTCTTGTCACTACTTTGACACCAATGTGTAGATAATTACTACAGGCTGGTAACATGTCTCATTTTCAATAGTACGTATTTTACAGAGATGAAACAACACTGGCCAAACCCAAGAGTAAAGTATTAATAATGACCTTCCTACTAAAATCTGGCACTTGCACTCCTACAAATTAAGGCACAGCGCAGCCTGAGGGTATTTAGTAAAGACCATTCTTTTGTGCAAGTCAAATCCCTGATTTAATACTGAGCTTGGCACTTCTGGTTCCACAAGATCAGTGCAAACTGATACCACAAAGTTAGGATCCAATTTCTCAGCAGTGCTTAGTGGAGACAAGCTGCAACTGAAATCCCTATGGATGGAGGCACCCACTGGACTCTGCAGATGAGAGAGAGATGCAGAGTCCAAGGGGAATTCAGTCAGGTCTTTGGCCAGAAGAGATGAGGCTCTCCTGGAGCTCAAGGGAAAAGACTGTCTGCAGGGCATTCAGATACAAATTAGTTCCTGGAACTTTCCCTGTTTTCTTTGCTTTTATTAGCTAGCTGCATGTTATTGAAGATTACCTTTGAAGATACACATTTAACACACTTGTTAGAGAGATATAGGCTAGGCATAACTTGATTAAGCCTCTCCTTACAGAGGAAGGATTAAAGAAGAGACAACCTACTGAAAGATTTCTGTCTGACTCTAAATTTCCTTTCATCACATGAACCTGTAGGGCAGATATAATATTAATGTAAAAGTCTTTTGAAATACTAGAGAGGATGGCACCATATCAACAAAACCATTCTCAAACAGCAACTAATTGCCTGAAGCCAAAGTCTTGTATTTGCAAGTTAAGAAAAGCAGTGATTTAACTCTTTCAGGGCATACTGGCTCAACTGAATGCTCAGAAGCATGAGACTGCTTCCTTCTTGCATTTCCTGGACTTCAGTGTTCAAGACCAAGTTGGATGGACCTTGGTCATCCTCACACATGGTCTAGTGTGAGGGATCGCTGCCCATGGCATGGGGTTGGGACTGGATGATCTTAGGGTCCTTTCCAACCCAAACCATTCTGTGATTCTATGATTCTCACTATTTCCAGGTACAAAGCAATATGTCAAGATGTTTTCTTCCCCCCTCACTTGATCTTTTAGAAGAAAAGAGCCTTGGTCATCTCATAACAGATGTGCTGGTAAGGGGGTATTGAGGATATAAGGTCAGGAGAGTGTGTGTAAGGAAACAACAAAGCAAAATCTTCAACACCACTGGTATCTATCAGCCTGAGAACAGTAGGTACAAAAGCAGAACTTCTCTACCCCATACAAAAAGATGCTCAACCCCCACTAGCCACTCTGCAGGAGTCCTGAGGGGAGGCAGGGGAAGAGAAGGGCAGGAGGGCACACCTGAATGGACTTCAGCACTTGCTAAGTTAATCTGCAGCTTCAGGCATCCTATAAATCCTTTCCAAAATGAATCAAGCCAACCTGAAAACACAGTTCAAGCTCTGGAGATGGCACACCCAGGCCCTGTGGATTATCCATGCCACACAAGAAGGATTAGCCCAGGCCCAGGGATGCTACAAAAGGCAGCATCAAGCAGATGCAGCACTATGTCTTCAGGGGCCGGCTCTTCACCAGGAGCAGCTGTAACTGCTTTTCTGCAGCTTTCAGCTCAGATTCACAGCTCTTGCCAAGCTCTGCTTGGCTCCACAATAACGCACCTCTGGAGCCTCAACAGTTTCTTTGCACAAGTGCCAGGGGATGCAGGACCAGCAATTCCAAGTTTTACTCCCAGGATTGGCTCAGGCTTATTTGCCTCACATGGGAGCCCTCTGGCTGTTTTGGACCCAAGCAAACTCCATGCAGGTCTCAGCTCTCTGTGGGATCCTCAGAGGTCTGGGGTAATTATTAAATCAGCTCCAAAAAAGCAGAAACACTTCATCTTACTGTGCCTTGGCCCCAGTCAGCTGAAGGGACATAAAACATTGCTAAGGAAGTGTGACACAAAGAGCCCATTGACTTGGCGAGGGCCCACCTACAGATGGATGTGAGCACTGATCAGTCACCAGGCTCTGCAATCCCATGTCATGGAGGAACATCACAGCTGAGCCCAGCCTCACAGATGCACACATGGTCCCCAGTGAAACTCTGCTTTCTGTTCTGATCAGGGTACTACAGCACTCACTTTGGGCAGCAGAGACTGGGCTACTGTTGAGATACACACAAACACACTCTGCTGCTTTCAGAATATCATCCAAACACCTCCTTCTCCTAATAGGTAGGAACCTCTCTACTTCCAGGCAACAATAAAGCATGGCCAAACTGTCTATTCTTCATGCATGTGACAGCATGGCTGTTAACTTCAGCACACCTCTGCCCATCTGCAGCCTGAAAGTGCAACGGGTGAGCATGAGAAAAGCAATTGTGCCCTTCTTCCTCCCGGCCTTCAGTCTGCAAAAAGAAAACCATCCAGCTAGTTAACTCTCTTTTTGCATGGTAAGGTTCCAGTCTGTCACCACACCACTACAAAATTCACCTTTTATGGTTGTGGGTGGCTCTAACTGCACAGTGTTACAGAGAACCTACCAGGGTTTTAATTCACTAACGTTTTCCATAAGGCTGCATATCTCCATTATAATTCCTCCTGATACATCCTAGGGTTGCCCTGTGTTTTGAGAGTGAGTGAATGGTTCAATCTTAGTGTGATTAACAAGCATGTTAGAGCCCTTTTCCTCTACCATTTAATTCTGGTAGACAACCTGTTTATAGCTCAAACGCTGCTAGTATCTCCTGCATGTGTGATCTTTCACTTTGATTTAATTTTGGCTTATACTACTCCAGGCCCCAGGAACATCTCAGGTTTACTGTATTAAAACCTCAGCT